GGAAATGGGAAGGGTGCCCAGGCACAAGGAGAACAGAACTCTGGTTGGATGGGGATCAATGTGTGCTGGATACACGGAGGGAAATACCATGCTGAACCCTAATAATGTGTAGGTTAATAGGTGTTAATAAAAATGACATGAAATAAGTAAATTATGCAATAAGTTTTTAGCTAAGTAGAACAAGAGAAAATACTCTTTAGGGGACATTCATTTCCTCCACTTGTTATTCCTCTGCTAATGTTATAAAGTCCTTAGAGATTTGAAGAACGTGAGCCAACTTGGCTAATTATGAGCTCTGTTCACGGAGGCTCCAAGGTCACATAATAGTCAGCACTGGTCCTTGTCCTCCAGCTCTCCAGCTTGATGGCTCAGCACAGTGGACACATACATGCTTCTCCTCCCTCCGGGACTCTCTGAATTGGGAATTTTCTACCTCACAATATATTCATCTCAATCCTGAGGACTGAGACTGTCCTCAACTAAAGATTGGGCAAAGGGGAAACGTCAAATCTTCGGCCCTTGGTCATGACCCAGCAGAGGCCCAGTGCTGCCCAGTAAGTGCTGAGGGAGATGCTGAATGGAGGTGGGGAAGCATGGATTTCTCATCATCAGGACAAGCATGCAGTGGGTATAGCCAGAGGAGAGGACACCAGGTGAGAGTTCAGATCTGAGGATGTGCAGTCTCCGTTCTTGGTGGTGGTGAGGTCTCAGAGACCTCTCTTCCCACAATGGTTCTACTTCCCATAGACCACTCACCTGTTATAGGAGACAATGGGTCCCTCCAGACTCTTCTGTAAGCACTCCAAAGGATTAGGAGGAACAAGGAGGAAGAAGACATCCAGGAAGCTTTCCTGAGAGCTTTCTAAACCCCAGGCATTAGTTCTGTGATCTATGTGGCTTGTTTACAAGTGATCTGTCTAGCATTTCCTTTAGGGGACATTCATTTCCTCCACTTGTTATAAGTGCCTATTATGATGATTTTACATAAAAAGAAAAAGATAGCATTTTTAGCAACTTGCATGAGGCTTTTAGGTAGGAAAGAGTGAGCTCTGTTTTCATCAGCCTGTCTGATGGCAGACACAGGACATCTTGCTATGCAAACCCTGGCAGGGTGTCCCCTTGACAACACAAACATCCTTTTGCTAGATCACAGGGCAAAGCTGTGGGTGACACCAGCCAGACTCAGTGGGAAGGACAGCCACAGACCATGGGCAAAGATCACGGGAAGAGTAGAGAAGTGATAATTCAGTCTAGACCTGACACTTGGCCTGGTCCAGGAGATCCTTTCAGCTGTCCACATGCTTTTGAGAACTTTTACTCAACCCACTCAACCTCAAAGAGACATAAAGTCAGGACTGGATTCTATTCTTATTCAGAAGGCTAGAAACAGCTAGGAAAAAAAAAGGCTTCCCATATTTATGTGATTGCAATCTTGATATGTCTGCTTTGATTTTCTGATAGCTGGAAATCAATGAAAAATTTAGTGCATCAGACCTAGAGACTAAAATTTAAAATTTCCCTCATGGACACGCATGTTTATTTCTGAAACACAGTGCAGGTTGTTACTATCCCAACCTCAGCATTGACACCGATGTGATCTCTGGTGGATACAACTGAAATGGCCATGGATGACATAGATGCTCCTTCTGTCATCAGTAGAGAGTGAGAACATGAATGAGAGAAATTCAGATATTATTTTCACTAACAGTGATAAGGTTGATATTTATACCAATGAATTAAAATATCATTTGATGAGAAGTAACATTTCTCCTATTACTGTAACAGGACTTTTCATTTGTCTCCTACTATAAATACATATTGTGTATTTGAAGAAGATGACTAATTCATTTCTAATTGCCCAGTGTCTATATCTTGGAGGCCCAGAAGAGGCATCAAATGAAAATGTCTCTTTAAATATTGAAGATAAATTTTGGGTCCACAAATCCTGGCCATAATCAGTGTGGCTTCATTAAACTTGTTTTCCTGTCTGTAATTTGAGCCCTTTCAGGAATATCTCATAGAGCTACAGTCAAGGTGACATAACTCTTGTTTGCATTTATGTCATAGACACATGGGCCCTATAATCCTCTAAGCACATCTATATAAACAGTTATTCAAAATAACTTAAAAGACACAGAAAAGGCAGCAGGTGAATCTTACAGCTTGGAATGAGAGAAATTATAGGGTTTCATGTTGTTCCAGACTTTGGTGGTTTTTAGCAAATATTTATATTGCTCTACAACTCACTGTTCCATAACATCAAATTCTGTACTTTTTAAAAAAGTAACTGCAATGATTTTAAGAAAGTAACTGCAATTATTTCCAGGCTTAAATTCCACTCATGTGCCAGGCATGTTGGAGCTTCGTGTCATTCTCCTATCAGTAACAAGTTCAGTTCAGACAGGAGGAGAGAGACACACACAATCTGTGCACAACAGCTGGTCAGTGACTCTGGATTGAAAGGGTGATCTCCCCACTCCCATCCCAGGGGACTCTTTCCCCGGATGTCACCAAATAGAAATCGATTAGCAGTAGGAGATGAAGTTTTTTTGTTTATATGTTAGGAAAGGATTATTAATACACTATAAGAATGTATTGATGCTATTGATAAGAACAAGGGGATGTATTTATAATGTCTGACTTTTTATTGGGACAACAAATAATTGTTGAATAATTGGTAGTAAAACTGAATGTGCATCAGTTGTTGGAATTAGAAGAACTACCTGCTGTCCACATTGTGCATGGGATTTTTTAGAGGTATGATATGGACAAAAGTATAAGAATTTTCAACATACCATCATAATAATAAGCTAATAATAATAATGATAATAAGCTGCCAAATAATAATGATAATAATAATAATAATAATCTGGATCCTCCTCTTAGAGGATCCAGACCTCCATTAACTGTTAGTGCATCACAGAGAGATTTCAAACCACATCAATGTAAACTAGAATATTTCAGGGAAAACATTTTTATTTATTAATTTACTTATTTATTTATTTTGAGACACACTGCTTAAGTAAAAATTAGGTATTTTTAGGTAAGTTTTTTAAAATAAAAATTCTTATAATCCATATTCTAAACAAAAACTGGCCTGGACACATTGACAGGAAAATCTTCCCAACAAATCCCGACAGAATTTACCTTTGGAGGACAGGTGGGCAGAAGAATGAAATCATACAGAGATAGATGACAGTGGTAGCTGACAGTCCCATTATTTTTAATATAATTTGTCTACTTATGTGTTTGACATTTATTGAATTATTTTAGTCTGCATCAAACTTCACTCATAAGGTAAAAAGAAGTCGTTCTCATAAAACCTTTGTTAGGTAGATAATTTTTACCCCCATTTGACAGAGGAGGCATTTTTACCTTATTTTCTGTACTTTTCTCTTTTGTATTTTCCACCATGGAATCACAGTGTGAGCTGACAGTAATAATGTACCTGGGTTGTCTTCATGCAGCTGAAGTTGGGGAGCTGCAGTCCATGTCAGCAGGATTAACATGAAACCTATTAACTAGGCACAAGGAGGTCCAACTTGCAATTTACATTTGCCTCATAGGGCTCTAGGCTTGATGCTGAAGTCTTCAAATGAAAATTAAAGGATTATGGCCAGCCACGAGAATGGGATCCTAATTGGAATAAGTTATACTCCATGTATATATGTCAAAATACACTCTACTGCCGGGCACAGTGGCCCATGCCTGTAGTCCCAGCAGCTTGGGAGGCTGAGACAGGAGGATTGTAAGTTCAAAGCCAACCTCAGCAATTTAACAAGAACCTAAGCAACTCAGTGAGACCATGTCTACAAATAAAATACAAACTAGGGCTGGGGATGTGACTTAGTGGTCAAGTACCCCTGAGTTCATTCCCCTGTACCCACCCCCCAAAAAATACACTCTACTGTCATGTATATCTTAAAAGGACAATTTAACAAAAGAATTATGATTAGAACAACAACCAAGCAGAACTAGCAGGCCAGAGTACCGACCTGAGGGGAAAAAAGAACTCAGGGAGATGGCTTCCAACAAAATATGTTACTGAGATAGCATGTCATTGGACAAAAAAAATCTGCTAAATAATTTTAAACATTTTTAAAGAATTTCCTAATATCACTTTGGATGACAGATGTAGTGTACACTAGCACCACATTTGTTGTTAGTGATGTCATATATTTTGTATATTTAATAAAACATATGCTTCAAAATTTGAAGTACTTCAGAAGGCTAGGAGTTACATAATAATAGTTTTTGTGTGTGGAACTGGGTATCCATCCCACAGACTCATGCATGCGAGGCAGGATATCAGCCATTGAGCTACATCCCCAGATTTAAAAAAAAAATATTTTAAAACAGGAGTTCATTAAGTTTACACAGATTCTCCTCAAACTGGAGATCCGACTGACTAAGCTTCCTGAGTACCTGGGATTACAGGTGTGACCAAATGCTCCTGCTTGTTAGATAATTTTTAAAAGACAAACAAAGTTGAGTGGGGTCTATATTCACAAAGGGGGAAAATCATGAAACACGAGAACCATGAAAAATTTTATTTTAATCTGTTACATAGGATTTTTTTACTATAAACTGTCAAATTTAATTTAGTATTCAAATAAGCTCTAGCAAAGTGCTTATAAATATTCTAAAGAAGGAATGCTATGCCATTGTCTTAGAATAAAATTCGGTATATTTGACAGCTCCTTAATTTCCTATAATGCATTGAATTTTTTTAAATGGTAAGGATGTTCCTTAATCTCTACTGTCCTTGAAGAGAGTGCAGTAGTTTGTGGTGATCATGGACTTGATAGGTGTAAAGTTCTTGTTCTAACATTGCTCATTTAAGTGTCACCAAAGAATGCGATTTTTGAAGAAAATTATGCAAAAATTCTGGGATTGGTTTTGTCACACTGAGAAAAAGTGCTGAAGGTATATTGAATTTGGGTGTGAACATCATACATGTGCTGGGTACCTGGTTTTTAGTTATTTTATTCTAAGCCTTCTATTCCCTAAAAGGTGTGTAAACACTATTGAACTACAGAATCAAACATGTGTCTCTGAATTCCAACTCATGAGGCTCTCAGAGGATCCAGACCTGCAGGCCATTCTCTTTGGACTGTTCCTGTCTATGTACCTGGTCACAGTGTTGGGGAACTTGCTGATCATCCTGGCCGTCAGCTCTGACTCCCACCTCCACACCCCCATGTACTTCTTCCTCTCCAACCTGTCCTTGGCTGACATTGGCTTCATCTCCACTACGGTGCCAAAGATGCTCATGAACATCCAGACTCACAGCAGAGACATCTCCTATGCAGGCTGCCTGACACAGATGTCTCTTTTTGCCCTTTTTGTCTGTATGGATGACATGCTTCTGACTGTGATGGCCTATGACCGGTTTGTGGCCATCTGTCACCCCCTGCAGTATTCAGTCATCATGAGCCCTCGCCTCTGTGGCTTCTTAGTTTTGGTGTCTTTTTTATGCAGCGTTTTGGACTCCCAGATGCACAACTCGATTGTGTTACAAATTACCAACTTTAAGGCTGTGGAAATTTTGAATTTCTTCTGTCACCCTTCTCAATTTATTAATCTTGCCTGTTCTGATACCTTCACCAATATCATAGTTATTTATATTTTTGGTGCCATCTTTGGTATTCTTCCCATCTCAGGGATTCTTTTCTCTTACTCTAAGATTGTTTCCTCCATTCTGAGGATCCCATCCTCGGGGGGGAAGCACAAAGCCTTTTCCACCTGTGGGTCTCACCTGGTAGTTGTCTGTTTGTTCTATGGAACAGGCCTTGGAGTGTACTTTGGTTCAGCTGTGTCACATTCTCCCAGAAGCAGTGCAGTGGCTTCAGTGATGTTCACTGTGGTCAGCCCCATGCTGAACCCCTTCATCTACAGCCTGAGGAACAGGGACATGAGAAGAGCCCTGAGGAGGCTGTACGGCACAACTGCCTATTCCCAGGAACTGTAGCATCCACTAGAAATTCACAGTGGAGAAGTCCGCCAAACGAAACTGTCAGAGCTGCCATCCACTCTGTTATTTTGCAGTTTCTGTACATTAATTCTTCATCATGGTAGAGTGGAATTGGAAACTGGTTAGAGATGGAGAAATAAAGACATTTTTGAATGTGCTCAAAATTTTAGTCTCGGAAGAGGGGAAGTTAGGGAAATGCATGATGATAATGATTCCAAAGCAAAACAAATATAGTGTCACAGTGTGGTGCACTAAAAAATGGATAAAGTGCTATTTTTTTTCATTCATTTTCTTACTATGATAAGGAATGAAAATAAAATGCAAATGGTACTTTAAAAATTAAAGACATGAAGTAAGTAAATATTTGTAGCACAATTCAGAATATTCAAGGTGTGGAATAAGCCAGGATGTCCCTCAACACATGAATGGATAAAGAAAATGTGATATATATATATCAAATATATATATTTGCACATGCATATAGTGATATATATGTTTGTGTGTGTGTATATATATATGTACAGTCATGATGGGGTTTCATTCACTCATATAGAATAATGAAATTATGTGATTTGCAAGAAAATAGGTGGAACTAGATAGTAACATTTTAAACAAAATAATTCAGACACAGAAAGATGCTTATTGTAGGTTCTCTTTCATATGTGGAAACAATAGGGCAAAAGATTAAGAAAGAATTTCATGAATGTAGAAGGGAAAGCATTAGCATAGATGAACAGAAGCAGGAATAGCAAATAATCAAGGATGAAGGGACATGCTGAGAATAGCACGGACCAAATTATGTTGTTGGCATTAAGATATGAAAATATGTAATTAATATGCACCAGTAAACAAAGAAAGAATGAAACAAAAGAGCACACTTGATTCTTGATTAGTACTAGAAGAGCCAAAACTCTCTGTGGACATTTATTACCCTTCTTTCTCCTCCACTATTAGTAGGATGTTCCTAGAGACTGAGATCACAGGGAACTCGGTGGCTTATTATGAGCTCTGTGCATGGAGCTTCCAAGGGTTTATAATGGTCAATCTTCAGCCTGGTGGTTCAAGTCCACTGGACCGTGCATCTGTCTCCTTCTCCCATGATTGGCTGCATTAGGAGTCTCCTAATTCTCACTGTATTCACCTGTCTTAAGGACAGAGCCTGAGGTGACTTTAGGCACTGGGAGAAGGGATTGGTGTTTATTCCTAGTCCTTGGCCATGATTTGGCAAAGGCTCAGTGTGATTCAGAAAGTGCTGAGGGAGAGCATGCATGGGGGATGGACAATCCAAACTTTTGTTTCCCTTCATCAGGAGAAAATATCATTTGACAGATTTAAACCATGTGGAATGTGAACATTTTGCAATTTGTTGTGGAAATGTCATTGAGAAGTTTGTTTCCCTCTCACACTGGATCCGCTGCCCTTAAATCTCATCCATGATAGGGGAATTTGTGTCCTTCTACCTTGTTCTGTGAGCACCTCAAAAGATTTGTGATGGTGATGATAAGGATGAGGAGGGTGGACAGCAACCATGACATCTTGACGCCTTATTCATGGCTTCTCAATGCCAGGTGTGGTGTTGCTGGTGCTGTATTTGCCTAGTTACAATGATTGTACATAAAAAAGAGGGGAGGGGTATATTAAGTAAGCTAGATAGGAAGAAAAGACTGAAAACATGCTTGGAATGTGGTTCTTGAATGGAGACTCCTGGTACGTCCTCCCCATGAAAACCCAGACAGCCATCTCTTCTCTGCCCCACCCCCACAAGGGACCCCTTGCTCACTGAGGTTTTGAGGATCCCGAGAGGTCACAGGACAGAGTGCTGGCTAGTATTTGTGGCCTCTGCTGTGGGAAGGATGCCTACTGATGACATGCAAAGATGACTTAAGGGGTAGAGGCACAATAATCCAACACACTTCTGTCCTCTTGCCCCAATCCAAGAAAGCTGTGTGTTCTCTTCCCCCATCTCTATTCTTGTAAGTGGAGCATTGAAACTGTGAAGGAAATGCAAGTCACAAGCTGATTCCATTCCCGCTCAGGATCTGCATATGGTCAAATCCTGTGCCTGAGACCTCCCTGTGTCTGAGACCTCAGAACCTCTTCTCAAATCCATCTAATGGTTGACAAGCAAAATATATTGGATGCATTGAATCCAGAGAATGACATTTTAATATGAGCTCTGCTGGCTGCACTTATTCCTCTAAGACACATGGAAAGCTCTTAGTATCTCTAAGATTCAGCACTATCGTGTGTTTGATTTGTAATTGATACAGCTGCATTGTGAACCCATGGAACAGATAGTAGGTATACATGTATATTGAGTTAGGAATATAAAACATAAGGGCACAATAAGAAATATTACTAGTTATGATAGGACTAATGAGTATATTATTGGAGTTAAATATTCTGTGACCTCAAGTTATGGCTCCCCTAGTTCCCTAGTACCACATTTCATTTTGGCCCTTATGAAGTAAATACTAAGTATTTAGAAAGGAATGAGGAGCCTGTCATTTCAGGCTACCAAGAGCTTATACTTGGTTAGAAGAAACATCCAAGATGAAAATCTATGAAAATGCTGTGAGACTCTTCCATAGGTTCAAGGAAACAGAGCATGAGGTACAGGTACCCCATCTATCACCATCCATGCCTGTGTCTTCTTCCTTTCCATCTGAAAGGACCAGAAATAAGGTAAAACAATATTTTCTTGCATCTCTATCATGTTTAGAAGGAACCTATTATTTTTCAAAATTACATATAACATTCATATATATGTAATTACAGAAGAAAAATTACAGAAGAAATTTCATAAGTATGAAAAAAAAGACGAGGCAGGTAATTTGGTTCTGAAACACTGGATGTAGAGTTGAATGTATCACAAGGAATTCCCCTTTCCCATCTAACTATAGTGCACCAATTTCAAAAAGGCAAATAATAAGAAGGAACACCAGGCTGGGGCTGTAGCTCAGTGGTAGAGCACTTGCCTCGCATACGTGAGGCCCTGGGTTTGATCCTCAGCACCACATAAAAAATAAACAAAATAAAAATAAAAATATTGTGTCCATCTACAACTAAAAATAAGTTAGAAAAAAATAAAGAAGGAAGACCATTAATGGAGAGGAAGAGGGAGTTGGAGAAGTAAGAGGTAGGAGAATGGAATTATTGAGGATTAAAATGTAGCAAATTATGATATATAGATATTTATGAATATATCAAAATGAACTCAACTGTTATGTATGACCACAGTACACTAATAAGAATATTAAAAAGGAAAGTCAAGATCCAAGTATTCTCCTTCACATGCCATAGCTAGAAAGAAATACAGAACAAAATGGGGATTTCATGAAGCTTACAAGGAGAAGAGTGCTGTAGAGAAAGGAGATTAAAAGGGATGGAGAAAAGATGGAAAGGAAAATTACTGGGGATTGAAGTGGGGCAAATTATAATATATGCATAAAACTGTTATAGCTTGTTATGTACTTAAAACTGCATGAAATATTTCAAAGGCATACTTCACATTCCAGTAGTTACACTCACTCACTGATGCAGTGTATTAATAATGCCACCTTTGTGGTTGACAATATCATATATCAGGTGCATTTAAATCATTTTGTTCTCAAACATTGATGTCTACAAATGTGAGGATATGGACTTACATATTAAATTATGCTTAAGAGGCACAAACAAAATGTGAGTGATCACTTACAGCCACAAACAAGGTAATTAGAAAACTCAATGATATAAAAAACATATAAAAGAAAAAAACCCTCACTTTAGATTTGTGGCAACAAAAATGATTTCTGATCATGAACTATCAATAGATTGCATGTTTAGGTAATGCAGTCCTCATCCTTATAGGTTCCTGATGAATATTCCAACCGGGGAAAATGAACTGTTTTCTTAGTAAAATGAGGGTATTTTGCTGCTTTAGATGCCTTTAACAGAGTAATGAAATTATTTTATGTGTTCTCTTATTTTCAAAAGGCTGCTTTTCCATATGATCATGGAATCGTTGCCTCTAATACTTTTAGCTTTCTAACATTGTTCAGATGATGTCTCTAGACTAGGTGTGCACAGAAGGATATGAAAAACAGAAATTATTCAAGAAAGAATGCTAAGAACTTTGTGTTTATCACAATGAGAAACAATATTGAAGGTGTTTTGCAGGTTGGAAGAGACATCCACAATAAACTTGAAGACAGGAAAACCATGCCTCCTTGCTCATATCATTTTTTAAAAATTTTCTTAATTTGTTTTAATTAGTTATACATGACAGTAGAATGCATTTATGCACTCTGATATATCATACATAGATGAGATATAATTTCTCATTTTACTGAGTTTACATGTTGCAGAATCATATTGGTCATGCAGCCACATATATACATACAGTAATAATGTCTGTTTCATTCCACTATCTTAACTATCCCCACATCCCCTCTCCTTCTCTCCCATTACTTCCCTCTACCTAATCAAAGGTAACACTATTTTCCCTAGTGCCCCCGGCCCTATTGTGAATTAGCATCCACATATTGGAGAAAACATTTGGCCTTTGGTTTTGTTGGATTGGCTTATTATGCTTAGCATGATATTCTCCAACTCCAACCATTTACTGGCAAATGTCATATTTGTACTCTTCTTTAAAGCTGAGTAACAATACAGGCTTTAATTGCTCCTAATGTTTCAGATTCAAACAGTCATCTCCATGTCATGCAGGGTTTAGGAATGTGGGGTGATCAAATAGATCAAAGTCTCAAATTGGAAATTCAAATACTTCTGGAAATGCTATTGGCCATAGCTGCAGAGCAAGGTGAATGTAATCCATACATATTGATAGTGCACTTAAAATAGTAAAAATGGTAATTAATGTTGGATAGATCTCATGATAATAAATGAAAATATAATAAATGAAAAAAAAAGAGAGAGATAAGTGTCACAGTAAAATGGGTAGAGAATAGTGGTGGGAGGGGAGGGGAGGGGAGGGGAGGGGGATATGGAGGGCA